ATCATAAGAAAGTCGCTGTTGTTGGGATGATAGGCACTGAGAAAATGGTGTTCGTCGCATGGGAGTTAGGCTCTAGGACCTCTGAAGGTCCATTTCACATGGGACAAAGCCACAGGCATTTTTGATATGGGTCCATCAGTGAGGCAGAACGAGGCGCACAAGGGTAGAAAGCCTCAGCTGAAAGCAGCTCCTCATCCACCTCACCATCAGGAGGACAATTCCAAAGTCAGATCTCCCGTCAGGGGTCATTTCCACTAAGGTGGGCTCTGCCCTCTTCAAGAAGAGCTGAGTAAATGCAATTTGCTCAGCAGGGAGCTGCGGACTCAAAGTGAAAATGGGGAGAGAACTGGTAGGTCTGTCACTCTTCCTTGGCTGATTTTTCCCCTCCATCCTTCCCATGACCCCTCTGGCCTTCTCCAGATGCATCGTGTCTTACTCACCGAGCTTCAGTCAGTGAGCTTTCTACATCAGAGTCTTCCACTGTCAAGATGGAGCAACCCAGGAAAGTCACTTGTGCAGCCCCAAAAGTGCTCTCACTGCACTGCTGGAGCTGGGACAACGCCTGCCTTGGTTGAGCATACAGCATGTCAAAGGAGACAGCTCAGGAGCCTGCTCTTCTGCCATGAGCTTCCTCCTTCAGTCTACCCCTTTGATTTATTGTGCTTAAGCACTTCTGAGCACCTGGAAAGTGTTTTTGTCCCATTAATTTTGACTTGGAAGTTTCAGTGCTTCCCAGAAGAAAAATAAATCACTCAGGATGGGAAGACATGCCCCACACAACCTCCTCCCTTGTCTGGATCCCCTTCTCCTGCCTTCCACTTTCTTTTCCCTCCTACTGTTCCCTTCCTCCTCCTCCAACAGAAAAGAGATGGTGATAAATGTGCCACACAAAGAATGAACTTTGCATACCAGGAGCCAGGAGGTAATGCTATCTGCCCAAACATCGTCTTGTTGAGCACCTAAATAAAGCTCTCTGCACCCAGCACAGATGAAGCCTGTGGTCCCAGGAGACAGGACACCCGGCTGGAGACATCAAATCCATGCAGGCATCTGTCTCTGCTTCGAAAACATTTGGTCCTCAGAAGTTTGAAACACCTGTAGGTGGTCAATGTCAGGTTGAAATCGCATTTCCTTTAAGGTCTCCCTGGTTCTCCCTGCGTCTCCTCTTCATAGGATCATTAAGGTTGGGAAGACCACTAAGATCACCTTGTCCAACCATTGGTGGACACCTTCTCCACCATACGGTCACCCATCATCGCCGTATCACTAAATCACATCAGCCAGTGCTCTTCTAACCCAAAGGTCTCAATTCTCTCCTCTCTGCAGTATTACCTCCCCCATCTCCCCAGCTTGATATCTTGACCCCCTAACTCGATATCTTCTTCCTCACAGGGAAGCAACCTATGGAAGCACACCCTGGTCTGAGAGGACAAACCCCAAATCAGGCCTTTTCCCATTTTATCAGGCACTACAGCATCTGCACTGTTGATTTCTGTGGTCAAACCCATACCTCAGCCCCCCAAAAACATCGACCCCATCTGAAAATCACACTATGTAAGCTAAACACTGCTGATATCTTCTGCCAGGTTCACTTCTGCTCTGCACTGGGGCCACTATTCCTTTGTGTTGGGATATTTACTGAAGTCCTGATGATTAATATCCTCCCTTCCCTCACCACTTGGACAACTCATTCAGATTTCTTCCACTGATGAGCACATGATGGATGGATTTGATACACTTGGCACTAAAGGAACTGCATTGAATGATATGTCTAATCATTACTTTTCTCTTTCTTTACTCTTTTTTTCTTTCTTTTTTAAATTACATTCACTTGAAAGATGGCCTCAAACCTCCAAATGCAGACCTGGTGTAAGGTTTTCCACAATTCACTTCTCCTTTCAGTACAGGAAATACAAGGGGTGAACCACTTGTGAGTTCACTTTATGATCGTATTATATGACCTTTCTTTTTTCCCCTGGAATTTAGATTTATGTGGCCATTCAGCCTGTCATCTATCTGTCCCCAGTAGACTTTGTCCACCTGTTGATTTTTAAACTGTCTTTGACAGAAAGCTGAACGTCTCCAAAGAAATTATGTTCCTATTTCTATGTTAAAATGAAGATCCAGAGGAAGGAGTGATGTCAGTTTAAACAACTTATTTCTTCTTAATAATTCTTATTCCATTAGCTGATTTTGATATGGTAAGTCTCCTACATAGCAAATCACAGGAGAGGAGATGTGCAAGAAAAACAGGAGAATTCTGATGGTGTAACAGAAAAAAACAGAATACCCCAAAAAATTAATCGGTTTGGGGAGCAATCAACTTTGACACATAAATCTACAAATATCAGACTGTTCCTCTTGCCAGTCTTTGTTCTTCCAGTTTCCATGTGGATCTTAAACTGCTGAAACTCCATGAGAAAGGTGCTTCCCTCTGGTATTTCTAGACTAGGAATATCTGAGATAAATTGTTAGAAATTCTTACCATCTTGGGATCATCAAAGTTGGAAAAGACCTCCAAGGTCACCAAGTCCGACCCCAACCCATCCCCACATCCCTCCACGTTCCTCATCTCCATGGTTCTTGAACACCTCCAGGCACGGTGACTCCCCCACCTCCCTGGGCAGCCTGTGCCAATCCATCACTGCTTTTTTGGAGAATAATTTTTTCCTAGTATCCAATTCCAAATTTTCCCAGAAAGCAGATTTTTACACGCTTTCCAGTCCTTCTGCTGCAATCTCTAGGCCCAGCACGGAGGCCAGAGCAACCAGTGCCACCTTGTGTGTTCAAAATGACCACCCCTCCCAGAGGTGACGTCTGTCCAGCAATGTAGGACACGTTCCTCAAGGCTGTGGGTGTGAATTTCTTGTTGACGTCATTGGGAGCGAATCTAGGACACAACTATTCTCAATTTAGACTCTGTCAGCAATTGAAGTGAATTGCCTCACTGAGTGTCTGTTTCTGTCTTATACTAAATATAAAAGTAAGGAAAGAAAGAACGCAAATGAGACAAAAAAATACATTCCAAAAAGAAAACTGTAAAGAAATGGTATCTTCTCCACTCCCTGCTGCCCTTGAGAAGTTACAGCACAGCATTCAGGAGCATCAGACAGTTGAGCCTTTTCCAATTCCAGAAGTGCAGCTCAACAGAACTTCATTGTAAGGGATTTACTGGGTAAAACCAGTGTGAAAGCAGGTGAGTGTGTTTTACAAAGCAAGATAGCCATGAGTGTTCTACCTGCAGTGCTGTGAAGTTATATGGATGGTCTTCAGCTTTTGAGAGATACTGGAAGAGCAAAATGTTGCATGTCAGCATGGGTGCTGTAGTAGCACTACTTACACACCACGTTGCTGAGGAGATCCACTGGGGAAAGCACAATAAATAACACAACTACGTAGTAACTCTGTAGTGCCCTTCATCCAAATATCTCCAAACACTACGCAAACATTTGTTAGAACTGCCGCTGACCCCGGGTAAAGCCACACTATCTTCACTGTGCAGCAGATAAGAAAATTGAGGTGACATTATTTCCATGATCTTGTGACAGGGGTCAGAGGAGAAGCCCAGAGTTCTACCACCCGCTGCCCTTTGCCCCATGGGAATGATGGAAAAAATGGAAATGGAGAGATAAGTCTCCAGAATGCCCTTACTCAAAGGGCCCTTCCAAAGTGGCTTTCTTTGTTCTCCTTAGTGGGGCTAAGTCAAGTTCCAATGTAGAGACAAAAATGGAGGATAATAGAAGAAAAAGTGAAGAAATGGTATACAGGAAGCTCAGACTGCTCAATGCATGTTTAGAAATGATTAGGTAACCGAAATCTTGAAGGCAACCTGAAGGGATGTGCCCTTTGGCTCCAATTGTTCATCACTGCTCAGACTGTGGAAGAATGACCTTCCTTGTTTTACAGAAGGGAAAAATACACCTATACAGCAAGCTTGGGGTGTTCTCTCAACTTCTTGTCAGAGCTCAATTCAGTAGCTCAGAAATATTCTCAGCTTGGATATTATGGAAAAATTCTTCTCGAAAAGAGTGGTGATGCAGTGGCACAGGCTGCCCAGTGAGGTGATGGGGTTACCATCCCTGGAGCTGTTCCAGAACCGTGGAGATGTGGCACTGAGAAATTCGGTTGGTGAGCGTGGAGGGGGTGGGCGGTGGTTGGACTTGGGGATCTTGGAGGTCTTTTCCAGTCTTAATAATTTCATGAAAGCATTTCAGGCATCCCCACAGTGTCAGTGGATACGAATTCTCATCCACAAGACACCGATATCATCCTATGTCAGAAGCTGGGGACCATGGAGGATACTTTAGGGCATCAGCTTGCACTAGAAGTCCGTAAGCAGATTAGATGTGCCCTTGAGGTCTGAACTGGAGCTTGGGGTCTGCTGTAGCACAATGAAAGGAGGAGCAGGTTTGGATCACGGATCATCTCACTCTGTGTGCTTGGGATCAGATGAATAAGTCAAAGTGAGGTTGATCTCACAAAGAGTGGTCAGGCATTAGAATTGGCTGCTCAGAGAGGTGGAGGAGTCACTGTCCCTGGAGGAGTTAAAGAAAGGGTAGATGTAGCACTGCAACACGTGGGGAATATTGGTGGTAGGTGGACTGTTGGACTCGATGGCCTTAGAGGTTTTTTCCAACCTCAGTGTCTCTATGATTCTGATCCATCCACTGACTTTAGCAGGCATCTAGATGATGAACTCCCGTGTCAACTATTATATTGATGACACCTACATTTGGGCAGACAGCTCCTAACTTCCACAGAAGAGATGGGACTGGATTTAGAGAGAGCCTAAACAGTTGTGAATATCTGTGAGCGGTGGAGCAGCCTTGGATTCAACAGAGATCACCAGGTGCTGAGCAAAACTCTTCCCAGGTCCCAAGAAAAGGTTAATCCACTGCCTTTGTGTAACAGCCCTATTGAGATCGACATGAGCAAAGACCTGTAAACTCCAGTCTTCTTGCTTCAAAGCATACTGGTCCTTCTCTCCCAATCCCCTACAATAATGAAACAGTCTGTCAGCTGTAAATCACTGTGTGTTTTTTAATGAAAAGATGAGGAATTCAGATTGTCATGTTTTCCGACCTACAGCTAGCAACACTTAACCCCTGCTCTCCCTTTGCAACACTAAAGCATTGATGTTAGTGCAACACAAGATGCTCAGGAAGTGATTCCTCACAAATATTGCGATGGAGCTGTCATGTGGCAGTCCATGCAAAGTGATATACAGACTGAACAACAGATTGCCCTGCTGAGCCCCAGCCCCAAAAAATGAGTCTTCTTCTCCCAGCATATTTGGACCTGGTCTACTCTTCAACGTGGCTCCTTCAGGGACTGTGTAAGGAAGGATGGAGGTGCAAGAAGAACAGACAGTCCTTTCCTGGGGATGCAATGATCCATTACCACTTGCTTTAAATCAAGCATTAAAAAAACACTTGGACAGTCAATGGCCTCTTTGGCTGAGGAAGCTTTGCCCAAAGGATACAAAGAGCTGAGGGAGGATTGTGATTGTTTGTGTAGAGCTGAAGATTTATTTGGGAGTCAAAAGGGGTTTCCCTCCGTCCCCTTTTACTAAATAGTGTGGAATTTCAGCTTTCCCTGCATTCACCCCCCAGGAAAGCACTGCCCATTGGAGCTGGATGACCCATAAGAGCCTGACTGACAATTTTACGCTCAGTTGGGACATGAAAGAAACATCAGAGCTCCAGAATCTCTTAAAAATGGACACCTGCTTTAATGCTATCCATGTCCAAGTCCAGAGGAGCTTTATGGGAATGTCTCCCACTGAGTAACAACTGCAATACCAAAACTCCCCCCAAACAAGCAATATCTGCTCTTCCAAGACCAGCTATAAATCCATGGCCTTGTCCAACTTCTTTTTATGTTTATAAAAATAAAGGAAGGAAGAAAGCTCCAAAAGCCCATCTGGTTGTCTCCTTCCTTCTCCTGGGGAAGATTCCCACCCCTGGAGTTTATTTCTGTTCTCTGGAACCAGGTTTTGGATTTGGCAGCTCAACAGATCACATCCAGCACGGTGGACTCCTCCGTGCAGCTTCAGAGAAGACAGTTTGGGGAGCTACCAAAAGGTCCCATCATGCTGAAATACAGTCCAGCCAGACCCTCTGTCTCCTGCAATAGAATAAGGACAGTCCTCAGATGCATAAGGATCGAGCAGTTACACTTCTTTCCTACCCCAGGCTACGTTGACACCCATAGGTAGGTACCCAAGCCTACCTGGAACAGCCATAGCATTATGGAGAATCTTCCTATTTCCAGCTGGACTGGGACACCAAACTCCTTGCTTTTATCCCAGGATCACCATGGTTGTGTTCCAGCAGGCACCCCAAGCAGGATCAGGCTGCTCATGCTGTAAAGAGGCATAAAAAGCTGTGGTCCCTCACCTCATGGCTCAGGCATTCCTCCAGAGTCTTTGAGCTTTAAAATTACCTCCCACGGGAGCCCTCCAAAGCCAGAGCATTTGTGCAGCAGGCTTCTCCAAGAGCACGTTTTCTCCAGAGGCACGAGGCATGTTCTGCTGATGTGGGAACCTTCAGAGACCACCAATGTCACAGCCTCCTTCATCCTTGCCCTGTGGCACATTATGGTGGATGCCTGGTGATTCAGGACAATAAAGAGTAAATGTTCTGTGTACTGGGACCCTGCTGAAAGGCTCCCTGTGAAAGCAAGGGACTGAATTCTGTAATGCACCTTTCCAAGTTTCAATCTCCAGTCCTAAGTTTCTCTGCCTCCATCTGCATTGCGAGGCTCATGTTCCTTCTCAAAGCACCCACCACTATCAGAGGGTCTTTTCTGGCTAAGCCTGACCCAGAGGAAAGGGGAAGACCAGCCCAAGACAACACTTGCTAACAATCCACTATTCCATTCTCTTACAGAGCAGCAGAACAATCCCAGCTCTCTGCTTTCCCTTGCAATCCATATTTTCTGTGCCATATGTACAAGGTCACTGCCAAGAAAATAATTAGGCATTGACATGAAGGCAGCTCCTATGGGGAGCATGCAGATTCTTCACATTTCAAGAGTCTGTGTGCAAAAGACTCCAGATCCGAAAGGGAGATGGGACTAATCCCCACCCCACAGAGAGATGCCATTTGCAATCCTTTCTCAGGCCATAACGAGAAGCTCACAGTGATCTGCTATGACAAGACACAGTCCTACAATGCTCCTTTGATGTACCTGCTATTTATTGCCTTATTTTGGTAGAGGATGGGAGCCATAGACAATTTTGAGGTCCATGGCACCTAAGCAATCTGTGGATGCACAGTAAGAGGATGTACTGAAAGTTTTATGGTGTCAAATATATATCAAGGATGAAAGTCAAGAGGGGACAGAGCACGTGGAATGCAGGACGTGCCTTTCCCATCCTCTCTACAGATTCACTTCTCTTCTCCTTCACTTCCCAGAACCTTATTCATACATCTGCTGTATTTCCAATTGTTTTATTCAGCCCTCGCTGAAAGTGGGGGATGGACAGGGTTCCCCAAAGCCTATCTTACCAGCTGAGAAAAACCCTGCTCTCCATGTCAGACTCACCCACAGACACACAGAAGCCCCAGGACTGAGAGTCCACGGCTTGCTCACCTTGTCCTGAGGGATGGAGAGGATTTGTGTGGGACAAAGCACTCCAAAAGTGATCTCACAGAGTGGTCCACAACACAACTGGGTCAAGGTGGTACAGGTAACACTGAGTTCTGCTGCTTCATGGGCCCCCTGTCCCCCTTGGGATGAAGAGGGGGGCGAAGGAGGAGAAGGAGAAGGAGAAGGAGAAGGAGAAGGAGAAGGAGAAGGAG